TGACTATTGAAGATAACACGTAAAAAAATGTGTCCCCAGAGCATCTTCCTGTCTCATTTCCCTCTGCTACAATTTCTTCTCCTTTCTCCAACCCTCAGGCCCCCAATATTCCAGCCACTGAACCAGTTATTGGTCATTATCTGTTGCTACTTTTATATGTTTGTTCATGGGCTCCCAATGTTTATAAAGTTTATCTTTTCCTGGAAAAAATTCCTTATGCACAAGGCTCTGGTCTGCCAGCCCCTCTTCTCCCACCCCAGTGATGACCTCCCTTAGCCCTGTTTCTTGTTGATCTTACAGATAGGTACACTGAGACCTGATGCAGTTCACAGCAGAGTTCTGGAGGACCCAGACACAATCCCCAGGTGTCTCAGTCTTCCACCATCCCAGCCTTCTTGTGTTAGATCATAGACACACGGTTCTTGATGTACACATGATAGGGGTCACTACGCTTGTCCACTTTGCGGGAGCGGGTATATCCCAGGACGAGGCTGCCCACAGTGACAGCAAATAAAAACATGACGAAGAGAATGTACATGTAGGAGTTGTCATCACGGCCAGGTAGGCTGGCCCGCCGCTTTTCAGTCTGGTTGTCTGGCCCTGGATCCAGCCCTGGCCCTGGCCAGCAGAGTAAGTTGCTGTGAAGAGTGGCATTTAGAGCCTTCAGTACAGCATGCACGCCCTTGTACCAGGTCTCAGTTCCATTGGTAGTCTCCATAGCAATAGTGATTGAGGTGGGGGAAGACTTGGTAGAAGCTCTGGTGACAAGAGAAAAGAGAGAGGGGATGGCTCTGTCACCTGTAACTTGAATGACCTCATCCCCTCAGATCCCAGGTAAAATCCCAACATCATGGCTGATATAGTTTGGCTGTGTCCCCACCCAAATCTCATTTATAATCATAGCTCCCACAATCCCCACATGTCATGGAAGGGACCTGATGGGAGGTAATTGAATCATGGGGATGGGTTTTTCATATGCTATTCTCATGATAGTGAATAAGTCTCATGAGACCTGATGGTTTTATAAAGGGCAATTCCCTTGCACCTGCTCTCTTGCCTGCCACCATATAAGACATGCCTTTGTTCCTCCTTCACCTTCCACCATGATTATAAGGCCTCCTCAGCCATGTGGAACTGTGTCCATTAAACTTCTTTTTCTTTATAAATTACCCAGACTTGGGTATTTCTTCATGGCAGTATGAAAATGGACTAATACAATAGTTTATTCTAGCTACTTGATTACATGTCTGTTTTCTTCACTAAGCCACACACTCAAAGGCAGGGCCTATATTTGCTTTACTCACTGCTATATACAGTCACTTATGATGGCACTCAACAAGTACTCAATAAATAATTGTAGAATAAAGTCTTCCCTGACCATCAGAACCCATATTAATCTCTCCTTTCTTTGGATTCTATAAATCACTGAACTTTAGGTTAGAAGGACCTTAGGGATTATTTAATGTAACTCTTTCCATTTTATACACAGGGAAACTGAGGCCTTGAGAGGAATAAGTGGCTTGTCCATCATCACAGAATATTACAGATAGAGCCAAGACAGAAAGCCCTACTCTTTGTGGCTAGCTTAGAGATGCTTCCACTTCCATGCCAGCTCTCAGCAGGACTGTGTGGCACTGTTAGAAGACATTCGTCAGAACTCTCCTTCAGCACGGTCTCTTTATAGGCTCCACAGACAGGTTGGGTGTGGTGGGTCATGCCTGTAATCCTAGCACTTTGGGAGGCTGAGGTGGGCAGATCACTTCAGGTCAGGAGTTGGAGACCAGCCTGGCAAACATGGTGAAACCCTAGCTTTACTAAAAAATACAAAATTAGCTGGGCATGGTGTCGGGTGCCTGTAATCCCAGCTACTTGAGAGGCTGAGGCAGGAGAACTGCTTGAACCCAGGAGGCAGAGGTTGCCATGAGCAGAGATAGAGCCACTGAACTCCACCCTGGGCGACAGAGTGAGACTTTGTCTCAAAAAAAAAAAAAAAAAAAATGTTCCAGGCACCATTTGGAAGATGTCTGGGTATGGTTTAAATTTCATGCTACCTGGAGGCTAGAAGTTGGATCATTTGACCTCTCAAACATCCTGTGTCTCTAACACTCTAAATATGCCTAGCTATTTGCAGAAATTCTGTTGGAAAAGAGGTAACTAGGGAAACAGGGACAGGTTGTTAACCACAGCAAGCATTGGAGAAGGCAAGAACAGCTTGAGATTGAGTGGGAAGAGTGAAAGCTCTCAGTATGGCTTGGGGTTTACCTGCCCCACTAAAAGAAGACACAAGCACCCCAACTATCTTGTCCCCTGAAATAAAGTCATTATGTACCTGGCATATAGTCAGTGATTATAAATGTTCCTTTTCCTTCTTCTCAGAGATCCTTAGTCTATAACATAGAAAGAACATCTTAAAACAGACTTACATCCTTGTCTCTGAAAAACTATATGTCATTCCCTTTAAACAAGGCCCCACACTCACTTTCTTTAGGAAGCCTCCATTCAGTGCTCCCCACCCCTCAACCACACTCCACCATCTTTATCATCACAGTCTTCCCTTTGCCCAAGCACTTACATGTAAGGCAGTATGTGGCCATCCTCTTGTTTTTGATAAGGATATCATCAGACCATATGCATGTGGTCAGCAGGGCTGTGTATCTAGGGGACTGCCCTAAGATTGGCTGGTTGCTCTCCTTCTCTCAATAGTCTCTAGTAAAGATGTCCACTTTAAGGACTTCTCTGTGGGTCAAGCATTCAGCCCATTGACTGGTTCCACAACCCTCCATCATCTGGGTAGAACTGTTAACAAACCAAAGTTAACTAATGTGACTGTTAACCATGAGATCTCTCCCCTGGAAAAGATGATCATTCTGACCATGATAAATATTCATCAATGGCTCTATGAATGCAGAAGTTAGGGGGAAAGAGTTTACATAATACGGAAATCAGCCAGGACTGGTCCATGTTTTATGCAAGGCCTTTGGGGCCTTCTCCTATCTTGAGTACTTGTGCTATCTTTTCTGGATGGAGAAGGGGAAAAGGACAAGAGCTCACTGAGTTAAGATCCAGGATGGATCATGAGGTCAGAAGTTTGAGACCAGCCTGGCCAATATAGTGAAATCCCATCTTTACTAAATTAGGAGGGTGTGGTGGTACACACCTGTAGTCCCAGCTACTTGAGAGACTGAGGCAGGAGAATTGCTTGAACCTGGGAGGCGGAGGTTGCAGTGAGCCGAGATCATGCCACTGCACTCTAGCCTGGGTGACAGACATGACTCTGTCTCAAAAAAAAAAAAGATTCAGGAGATACAGGTTCTCATCTACTACCCCATGTGTCAGGCAAGAAATCTGTGGCTGCTTCTTCCCTTTTGTGGGCCAATAGCAAGTAGGAGCAGCATGATGAAATAAATAACTCAAAAAATCATTCAGATAGTGGTCACTAATATGGCCCAGGCCCTGTGATGGGAGCTTGGGGTGGCTTAGACCCAGTGCCTTCACCCAGGGGCTCTGATACAATGCAGGGGACAAGCCAGGAACTACTAAGGCTGAAAGGAATAAGTGATGGATACTGGTCAGGGCTCAGAGTATCCACAGTGATGGAGGCATTTGAGTTGGACCTTGAAGGGTTTTTAGAAGGCAGAGAAGACAAGGGAAGGAAACATGAGCAAAGGCACAACAAGAAAGTGTGTAAATGTTTAGATGAATAGAAAATAATAGCATAAAGAGGGTGGAGTATAAAATGTGTGGAAGAATAGCATAGGGGGTGGGACAGGAGAGATAGGCAGGTGCCAGATCATGGGGGGCCTTGACTGCCATGCTGGAGAGTTGTAACTTTATTCTGTAGCTGGGGAAAAGCCATGGAATAAGTATTTTAAAAGAAGATAAAATGGTCAGATCTGTGCCTGGAAAGGATGCTCTGGCTGTCATGTGGACTGGAAGGAGCTAGAGCTGAGGCCATGAGCCCAGCTGCAAGAGTCTTGAAATAGTTTAGTGCAAGATGCTAAGTCATGAGTCGGGGCAGAGAGGATAACAAAGTGGGGGTCGGGCTAGAGACAGATGTGAGACCTGGGGAGGGAATGGCTAACCTGAGAGTTGAAGGAGGAAGGGGCCTCAGGCAATTTCACAGGTAGAGACAAACCGTAAGTGTCTGGAGGAGTCTACTCTGAAGGAAGTAAGTTCCTTTGCCTAGTGGGGCTTTGGTTTCCTCATCTACCAAAAGAGATCATCGTGGAGTTGTACGGTAGGTATAGAGTTTCAGTTTTGCAAGATGAAAAGGTTCTGGAGATCTGCTGTATGAGGTGAATCTAGTTAATGCTACTGAGTGTACACTCAAAAATGACTAAGATGGTACAGTTTTATGTTAGTTTAAAAAAAAAAAAAAACCACACAATTGAAAAAAAATAGGCCCGGCATAGTGGCTCACGCCTATAATCCTAACACTTTGGGGGGCCCAGGTGGGTGGGTCACCTGAGGTCAGGAGTTCGAGACCAGCCTGGCCAACATGGAGAAACCCCAACTCTAATAAAAATACAAAAATTAGCTGAGCACACACCTGTATTTCCAGCTGCTCAGGAGGCTGAGGCAGGAGAATCGCTTGAATCCAGGAGGCAGAGGTTGCCGTGAGCTGAGATTGCACCAGTGTACTCCAGCCTGGGCAGCAGAGCAAGACTTCTGTCTCAAAAAAACAGCAAAAACAAAAACAAACAAAAACCTACAAAGAAAGATGATCATCCTTGCCCTCCTCCTTCAAGGCTTGCTGTGAGCATACACTTGTATTATGTAGAAGAGGATTAAATTTTTTAAAAAAAATTTTAGAGAAGCAAATATGTGCATGTAGGTTAAAATAAAAAAAGGAATGGACACAGCACATATAGTGAAGGTGAAAGCTCCTACTCATCCCAAGCTCCATTTCAGGGCAGAACCATTCAGTTTTCTTAGGTGTCACTGGAAAGGGGTTTTAACTGACAGAGAGAGGGAGGGAAATCTGAGTGTGGAAGACTCACCAGACAGCTGACAAATCCGCTGGCTCTCAGTCAGTTTCAGGCTTTCTTTGTGGACACCCTAAGGCTCCTCAACCCCCTAGCCTCTTCAGGATGTCTCTGGACACATCTGGGGCCTAAGTATTGACTTTAGACCTGGGAAAGCCCAGAGCTGGAAAGCAGGACAGAAGGAAGAAAAGGAAGGAACCAGTTACAAAGCACAAACTTCAGAATCGGAGTGGACTGCCCAAGGCCAAACCCCAAGGGTTGTGCAATAGTCCTGCTGTGGGTTCTGACCTCCCTCTCCCACCTCTCCTCCACTTCCTGCAGCAGCTGGGTCAGGCCAGCCTAGGGTTATAGTTAAAGGAACTATGCAGTGTCCAAGGGGACTCTGATTGCTGTCCCCCAACTCCAGACTCACAGTGTCTTCATTGGGTGACTTCATGAGAAACCTGTTTAACATGTGGACTCCCACTCAGGGACCAGCTGATGGTGCGGACTGAAACGTTCCCTTTCTTAAGGGTTACCTTAGCAAGGACCTTTTAGAATCCCAAGGGAATGATGTGAGTGGGAGAATGCCAGCTGGCAGCTGGGTTGATATTTTACAGAGAAACAAATGATGTGTTACCACCCAATCTATTTGGATAGACAGGGTATGAACACTCAGAATGAACACTATCTGTAGCATAGCTTTGTTGTGAAAATTAAAGAACATGATGTAGTGCTTGGCACTAGACAGTGCACAGATGGTGGTGGCTTTATTTTTGTAGAGTAGAGGCTAGAAGGGCCTTCAGAGGCCATATAGGCTAAATGCCCTCAGTACGGAGAAGGAATGGAAACCCAGGGAGTTGCCCCAGTTCAGGAGCTCCTTGTGTGACTTTGGACATAGACTTCCCTTTTCTGAAGCGGTCCCAGTTGGTTCTAACATCCCGTGATGATATGAAGCCACATGGTGAGACCATGAGAAGTTGGAGAGGCTGGTGGGAGAGGCATCTTGGGGGCTTTCTAGAGCGTTTCAAATCCCAAGATAGAGAAGGTTGTGGACCTTTTCCTCACTGGTTAAGATGCTTCTGAGCCCTGGGACTGACTTACACCTAATATTCCAGCTAAGCTAAAGTGAGGGACTTACTCATTTTTCCTCTTAACAGCTCACCCTCCAGGGTGATCTAGCCTAAGGAGGAGATAGACCCTGCAGAAAGTAGGGGAAAGGGCCAGTGTGGAGGGCAGGGTGGGCTTTGAGGCAGGGTTCCATGAGGGGAATAAAGACTCATGAAACCTTTCATGCCTCAAGGCATCTCTGAACAGACCAGGATGTTTGTGATTCTGACAGGAGGAGGAAAGAAGCATAGTTCCATATCTCTAGGTCCTGGGTTTGTGTGGGAGGGAGGGCCTGGATGCATGGGCCTCCTGTCTGAGTTAGGAGAGGCAGAAAGCTGATGAAGGCATAGGTTGGTTCTCTATGACCTGCCTCTGGGGCTCAAACTGGGGACTGGCAGTCATCAGCAGAGGAGTTTTGCCACTGTTTCCAAGCTCCTTGGCTTCCTTCTCCAGGAGAGTCCCTGATTACCAAGCTCCTTGGATGGGGGAGATGGAGCTCCTGCCCTGGATATGCCTTGCCTTGAAATGGAAGATAGGCCAGTGAGGAAGGAAAGTGAGCAGATGGCCAATCTGAAAGGGACTTTAAGGATCATCTAGAATCTAGATTCCAAGTCAACCCCTCCTTTTCATAGATGAGAAAACTGAGGCTCAGAAGGGAGAAGTGACTAGTCCAAAATTACATGGCCCATAAATGGCAGCACTCAGACAAGGACCCAGGTGTTTGGGATACTGTTCAGGTGCTCTTTCCACTACAAATGGCAGTGTTCCCTCGCATCGAAGCTTCACGTCACACCAGACACAGCCTGTTAGTGTCATGGGGCATCATCTCCTCAACTCTATTACTATAGCCTTTTCCTGCACCACAGATTCTTGCCAATCTTAGTTAAGGATCCAGTGAGATGGAGGTTGGTGAGCTTGGGAGGAGGAGTTAGCCTTCCTTTATGCTCTCATCTCCCATGCACCCCACTCCTCCAGACCTACTCCAGATTCCCCAGATGAGCCAGGTCACTCTCTGTTCCTGCTATTTCCCACACATTAACCGGTTCTCACAAAATGTACTTGTCTTGCACTTGTTTAGCTTCTAACCTGGAAGTTGGGGGATGAAGCTGTGATCTGAAGGATGGACTGGGGATCTTAGTGGGGTTTTCATTCAGGTTGCTCTGGAGAAAAGTGAAACTCTACCCTTGGGTCTTTCTTTCCCATTGTTCCGTTTTAGCTACTCTTTCAAAATGAGCGTCTTCAGTGTCTGGAAATGGAGTAGAGAGGCAGGTAGAAAAAGATCACATGAAGCAGGTAGGTGACCCAAAGACAGCTCCTGGGATGCACAGTTTTGCCACTGTCCCCTTGGTGGTCTTATCACTTCTGCGGACTGGAGAGTTGGTGGAGCGGGAGGGCAGTTAAAGGAGTAGACCTTAACATCCAGTTGGAAGAACACAGGAATAGAATCTGAGCTGGAAGAGATCTTCACGATCATGTTGTTGGTACAACCCCCTCACTCAGCCAGTGGGAAAACAGACCCTCTTCCCCAAGGAAATCACCTGCTTAAGGTCTCACAGCCCAGTAGTGGCAGAGCTGGGGGCAGAAACCAAGTAGCTTATGCTATTTTCTTAAACAAGAATGCCCTTCCTTTTCACCTGCCTGGCAAACTCCTACTGATCCTTCAAGACCCAGCTCCAATATCATCTCTGTAGATTTTCTCCTGGGACACCTCCTTCCCCACTCCCTAGCCAGTTAGTCTCTCCCCCTTGTTTGTTCCTTAAAGTGCTTTGCACAGAGCCTTATTAGAGCACTATACTGTACTGAAACTGTGTGTGTGTGTGTGTGTGTGTGTGTGTGTGTGTGTGTGTAACTGTGTACTTTGAGGTATGAGGGCAGGGTCCTATGCCTCATACATTACTTTATGTCCCAGCCCTGATACCTAGCAGGCATTCAAGAATGAGAATAAATAAATCAATGCCGCTTCTATAAGAGCATTCTCCTGCTCTGGCACATGCATATGCATTCATGAAAACAGCTTACAATATTTAAAAAGCAACCTCCAGGGCAGGCCAAAACAGATTTCATTTGGTCTGGTGAAGGGATGGCTCAAAGAAAAGAAGCCATCTCAGTCAGGTGGGGTGAGTCAGAGGAGGAGGAACTCTAAGCCTTCTTTGGAAGCCCAGACGCTTCCTGTACCTGGACCCCATTCAATCCAAAGGGCAAATATTCTTGGCCTCAAAACACCAGCAATGGCTTTGCAACCCTCTTCCCTGTGTACCTACCCAGGGTGTGGCCACATACACCTGCCCACTGCACACACACACAGTCCAACTCCCCAGTCCCTCAGCCTGTGATCTTGCCTTTCAAGTGTTCCTTTCATGATTCTAATCTTGGCTGTATGCTTGGCTCTTTGTCCTTGAGCACTGCATTTACTTCCTCTGAACCTAATCTATAAATTGGGAATAATGATCCCTGCCCTGTCTACCTCACATTAGAACTAGAGGAGACAATAGATGGGAAAGTTTTAGAAACTGCAAACATACAAGATAATTATCAAGCAGCCTGGTCACGCTGTTTCCTTTTCTGTCTCCACATCTTTCCTTTCCCCCGTATTACCAAGAACAGACATCTCTATGTCTCTTTTCTTACCCCAGCTCTCCTAGCCTCAGAAGCAGCCAGGAGGTTCTTATTCTTGATTCCCAGAAACCTCACCTTCACCAGACGGCTTCCTTGTTTCCCACCCTCTCTGATCATCCCTGTAGTCCCTTATCATTGAGGGGTACCATTCTGTAGTCCTGTAGCTGGTGGAGAACACATCAGAGAGGGAATCAAGAGACCTGGGTTCCTGTCCCTACTATGCCAACACATCTAGCCATGCATTTTGGTTAAGTAACTTTATCACTCTAGGCCTCATTTCCCTCATCAATAAGATCGAGTTTCTTGTCTTGCTTCCCTCGTAGAAGTTATTTTAAGCACTCCCACGTTAAGTTTATGGATGTGCTTTAAGAAGTATGGAGTGAGTGAGGGATGGAGAAGGGTGGATGGTTATCACCTCAAAGAGTCAAGAAAACCTGAAAGCAGTTTCCGGAGCTCCAGCATGGGTCGCCTCCATCAGGAACAGACAAAGTGGAGGCATACAAGGAGATAAGGGGAGCTCACACATTTACAACAGGTCTTTATAGGTGAAGTGGAGAGAGCCCTGGGCTAGTCACTATTGCAACCTTTGGTAAATCTTCTCCCCTGGGGCATCAGTTTCCCTATATGCAAATTGGTAGAGTTGGGAGGGGATTTTAGGAGGAGATACTCTGGTGGGGTTTCAAGCAAGGACTAAACTCATTTTTTTTTTTCCTTTTTCTTTTTTGTTTTTTTGAGACGGAGTCTTGCTTTGTGGCCCAGGTGGGAGTGCGGTGGCCCAATCTCAGCTCACTGCAACCTCCGCCTCCTGGGTTCAAGTACTTCTCCTGCCTCAGCCTCCTGGGTAGCTGGGACTACAGGCACGTGCCACCACGCCCAGCTAATTTTTGTATTTTTAGTAGAGACAGGGTTTCATCATATTGGCTAGGCTGGTCT